ACAATGCAGCATCGTAATCATGTAGGTCAGTGTTCCCTACTCTGTCACGTGATATAATTTTGTACATCTTTGCTAGGCTGCCCTGGAGAGCTTCACTTGAACCAGCCCACACATCTGAACTATGAATTAAAGATAATAATGATGTGTTTAGTCAAGAACTTGGTGGAACTACCTGCTCTCATGTACCATTCTTCACTTCTTGCCCTGGGATTCATGAACAGCATGCAGTGAGAGCTGCAGTTCCTGCCGTCAACAATGGAACCATATATGTGCCCATGCAATTGCCAAGATGATAGGCTCCACTGTGTACATTTGGCACATTTCATCAAGAAAAACCTACACATGGAATGGAACACATTTAAGTTCTTGTAAGGGGCGACATTGTAGACCATAGTTACATGTTTGGTATTATAAATGGGGGACCCAGAAATTAGAACCAGAAGTCTTTGTTGCTGCTTCTTTTGGGAAAACTGATGACACAAGAAACTCAAGCAAAAAGGTATTTATCACCTGGATATGAACTACAGGTTGAGAAATTTGGCAACTTCCTGCTGCTGTAGCTTGGAACTGTGTTCTGTAAATATTTATGGTTGCAATTGTAACGGACAAAGCCTTCTCTGTTGAAGGTGTTTGCAGGTCTTACTGCAGAAGCTCACAAAGATCATGTACGTCTACAGAAGGAACTGTGAAGCATACAGATTTAACCTGACATGTCAAGGTATATATCTGTGCAAATAAACATGCCATCAACACAAGCCCAAGGCCTCATTGAGAAACAATTACACCCATGTTGTTGCCACCAATATTGTCCACATTATCAATGCTAATGTTTAACTGCATTATTCAAATGATCTTCGCATATTATCCATCTATTTTCCACTTCTTTTTGGTTAACAGGGTATTAACTCTTTCTATGCAACAATATTTAGCACATCTGAGTCATGACTCCTACATGTTTCCTATCTCTAGATCACGGATCACTTCAATCCAGGCTTAGCTTAAGAATGTGCATTTAAAACATTTCACTCGCCTTCTGGTTTGTCAATTGTTAAAATATGTTTGCAACATTTTATGTTAGTATTTGCCATAAAATCAGATGGCACTCAGTACACTACAAAACAATGTTTTTTTCTTAATTTGTTTTCCAAATGTAGCTGACACTAGCATTTATTGCCCATAAAAACTGAAAGAACTGTGGACACCGTAAATCAGGAACAAAAACAAAAGTTGCTGGAAAAGCTCAGCAGGTCTAGCAGCACGTGTGAAGAAAAATTCAGAGTTAACGTTTCGGGTCCGGCGACCCTTCCTCACATTACAAGCAGAATACATCCCTGGTTTCCCTTTGGGCATTCCGAGGATTTGAGTCATATATAGACCAAATAGGGCAAGGGTGGCATGCTCTTTCCCTTTAAGGATATTAAGTTTTTAGTATATTTTAACATGTGCCATTTATTCTTCTAAAAATATTTTCATAGAGTTTCCAGTTGACACATCATTAACCTGAAAAGATTTATTCTATTTTCAACAGCCATATTGTTGGCTGGAGTGAGCCATTCTTAATGCCTCCTTTATTAAGAGCTAGACAGAGGAACAAATCTGTTGTATGAGTGTCTGAGTTCCCAGATAAAATATGGCTTCCATCATGTTAGCATAAATTCTTATAATATCAGCATGTTGTTGAATCCTCATTTGGAAATAATGCTCTGTTGCTAGATGAGGTGACAGAACCAAGTATCAGGTATAGTGAAAACAACAAAGTCATTTCCAGAAAATTGTTTAATTCACTCCAAGTTCTAATTATGTTGTGGGTTTGGTGGAAGAAAAGAACAGTTTACGAACTACACATACTCAGATATTTTTAGACTTTAAACTGCAATTAGATGACTCAGCTGCTTATTTTATAGGTTTGAGTGTGAATTACAGACTCTCTAATTTTACAAAAATAGTAGTTTCAATTAAAATTTGAGTCCATGATCACGTGCATAGATTTAAATTGTGCCTTTGAGCATCTCATAAGTTCTATTGTAGATATTTTTTTGATCAACCTGTTTAGAGATATTATTACACACGCTGTGGAGGAGGTGGGACTTAACACAGGTCTCCCTAGCTCAGAAACAGGGACCCTACCACTGCTCCACAAGAACCATCAGAATTTCTACTGTAACATTACAGTAACTGCAGATTCCATCAGGGGATGATATGGATCTGGCAATCTGACTGCCACTGCTTGAGCTTTGACTCCACATAGTGTTAAACCAGACTTACAAAATGCTAAGTTGGTCTTTTAAAATTATGGGATACTTTATAAACATACCCAAAGCTTATTTAAGTACCCCTAAAAACTGTGCATGGAAGATGTACACTGACAATGAATTGGTTATTTGTTTCATTTCTTTTCCATATTTGTATTTGAATCATTGTATCGGCTCACATTCAGCTACACAGTTCAGAATGTATGCGTGCTCAGTTAAAAAGGGTACAAAAAATGGAAGATGTTCAAAATGTATTTCACTTTGAAGCATCTTTACAACTGTGCTGGCAGTAGAGGATGTTTGTTATCCTTGTGCAGATTATTTGCTTTGTGACTATCTCGTACTTGATGAAGTACTTGTTTATTAACAAAAAAAAAATTGGAGGGATTTTATCTCCCTTTGCACAGTGGAATTTGAGCAAAATCAAGACAGTCATCTTCCTGCGAGGGAAATTAGAAGTAATTTATTTGTGTAAATATTTAGTGGATGAGGAATGCTATGCAGTAAGAGGCAAATGTTAAATAACGACAATAATCACCAAGATACTGATGAACGAATAATCTTAATTGCATAAGGAATACGCACAAAAATGAAAATATTCAAAAACAACATTTGAGAGGAAAGAAATCCAGTGTGACCTCTGTTCAAAGATTTCTGTTTCTATAGTTTTGTCGTCTTCATACTTTATTGTATTATTTTGAAGAACCACGATATTAATTATGGAGCACTGATTCTCTCTGGTGCACAATCACTCAGTCCAATGCCTCTAACTGGAGCTCGTCATTTTTTGAAAGAAAAGTTTACAATTGGCTGTAAATAACAGGAGCAGGTTCTAATGAAGGACAATACCCTAAGATTCAACCATCAAGTAATTGAGATCATATTTGAGATTACTGACTGAGATAATCCCTTTTTAGTTATTTGAAAAACGTTTCATTCTTTAGGTTGCAATTCAGCCCCACACTTCTAAATCTTTGGGCACTCAGTGCAGGGGTGGGGGGACAAGTCAGAGAGGATTCTTATTGATCTGCTCCTGGATGTGATCCAAGTTGCAATCAACAGGTCCAGATTGCTATTCACCGTATCTATGCCCCTCATGATTTTATGAACCTTTATAAAGTCACTCCTCAACATCCTGTGCTCCAATGAAAAAAGTTCCAGCCTATCCAGCTTATTTTTATAACTCAAACCTTCCATTCTCAGCAACATCCTGGTAAATCATTTCTGAATCCTATACAATTTAATAATATCCTTCCTGTAACAGGGCAACCAGAACTGCACACAGTACTCCAGAAGAAGTCTCACCAACGTCCTGTACGACCTCAACATGACATCTCAACTCCTATGCTCAAAGGTCTGAGCGAGTGTGCCAAATGTCTTCTTAACCACCCTGTCTACGTGTGACGCAAATTTCAAAGAATTAAGTACCTGAATCCCTAAATCTCTCTGTTCTACAATGCTATCCAGGACCCTACCATAAGTTGTACAAGTACAGCCTTTGTTTGTTCTACGGAAATTATAGTTCCTAATTGCCTGCCCCTCTTTTGTGGCTATGTTTGCACTCAGATGTCCTAGGACAGGGAGCATGCGCTGTCCACCAACAACAGCAAAGCCTTTAGAGAGGAGGGTACTGCAGGAGTTGGAATGCATTATTACCCCCTCCAACTTCATTTTAATTTAGTTGCCTCCCTCTCTTCCTATCCTTTCCGATATTTGTTCTTGTAACACTGCCTCTGGGCTTGATGATTTTCTCTTAATTTGTAACACAGATGATTTAGTGATAACTGGCTGAGACAGCACTTAGTCAGTGTTGGTCACGCTAAAGATCGACATCTCCCCAGGCATCCTCCGCCTACAAATGACTCAATCACTGACTCACCATCGCCACAGTTTGCAGTGAAGCATCACAGCACAGCTCAAACTTTCTTTGAAGTTTAAGATGCAGGGCACTTAGACAATTTCAGATCACGATATTAATACAAATCTTACCAGCCCTTCCAAGTGATTATGTCTGCTCCATCATGTCTCCCACATAAAGAGTTAAAGCCCTAACGACAGCAAAAACGGGCTCAGTTTGAACTTTGCACAGCTATTTAAATTCAGTCCAGTGTCCAAATTTCCAGCCTGTATGAGTAACAACCCTCTTGCGCCTACTACCAAAAGTTGGAACTGTTTGAAACGGGGGCAGACAGGACCCACCTGCCATTTTGAAAGGTTCAACATTCAAGCCCTATCATATTGCTGTGTGAAAGAGAGCTACATAGGACCCTAGGAGTGGGGGTTTCGGGGGAGGGGGGTAGTGGGTTGGAGTCTATAAGAGTTCAGGAAGGTGAGGGAGAGACAGTGTTTGAAGGTGCTAGGACTGAGAGAGTAGAGAGTCTAATAATCTTTAGCAAAACTGGACAGGATCCCACAGAGCCAAGGTGTACCTTTTAACTGGCCTGCCTCAACACTCAACTCCCCGAGCACAGTGGCCACTCCAATCTGCTTCCTGTGTCTGAGGATGGTGGACCTAACTCTATCGTCCTCATATCATCCACAGCTGGAGTGAATTATGCACCATTCAGGGGTCTTTATACCAATGTGGATCCAAAAAATCCAAGAATTTCCCGACTTGAGCTACACATTTCAAAAACGAAGATCCAGGCCCATGCATTTCCTTGGGTAAGGTATTTAGCCTGACAATGAATGGTGGAATGTTACACCAATACAACTGAGTATTACTGAATACATTAGAGGCATGCTTACCGAGGCAATCCAAGCCACATGTTCCATGATGGTGACCAGTCATCTTCAGACAATGTGTCTTGATTGGTTATTGGCATTTGGCTATGGACATTGTCTTTTTCTGCCAACCTCAGTTCTAAAGCTTTAAAAACAACTGAAGAGGAGGCAGCACTGTTCTTTATTATGGATACAGCTTCACTTTGTGTCAAGCCAGTTAGTTCAATGCCATTTATATCCAACAAAATGTCACCTATGAGCAAAGAAATTAAAAAAAAAACTTGAAATTCATTTATACCTTTCAAATGACATGTAAATTTGCTTCAGTAATACATTCTTTGTGAGGCTAACAACTGTTTACATTCATCGATGCATAGCTCACTTAGCAACGCCCAGCAAAATTACAAACTTTACCATTCTAATTCAGGTGGACTTTCAACACTAAACTAGTAATAATTAAACACCATATTTTCTCCCCTTTCCTGGTTAATTGGACCTTACTGAAGGTGGGTAGTTGACCCACTCTTGATCCTGCCATCAGAAAGGGGCGGCACGGTGGCTCAGTAATTAGCACTGCTGCCTCAGAGCGCTAGGGACCCGGGTTCGATTCCACCCTTGGGTGACTGTCTGTGTGGAGTTTGCACATTTTCCCCGTGTCTGCGTGGGTTTCCTCCGGGTGCTCTGGTTTCATCCCACAGTCCAAAGATGTGCAGGCTAGGTGGATTGGCCATGCTAAATTGCCCATAGTGTTCAGGGATGTGTAGCTTAGGTGGGTTATAGGGAGATGGGTCTGGGTGGGATGCTCTGAGGGTCAGTGTTGACTTGTTGGGCCAAAGGGCCTGTATCCACACTGTAGGGATTCTATGATTCTATGATAAACTACTGCAGTCTGGGTCGATTTGTTCTCTGGACTGCCTCTATTGTGTTCCTTCCATCAACAAGTAAAATGCAAGAATAGATTCATTCCCTCAGAGATGAACGCACCCTCCTTCGACAATGTCATAGAATGTAAACTAAAATGCCCCTACACTTCGCAATATTTGAAATTTGGGCATCTTATGTTAATCTAAACAAAAGTAAAGGTTAGGTCTGTCCAATGCATAGATGATTACTTTGCATTTTGCTAACTAACGGACAAGCTGATAAATCTGGGGGATAGGGTATAAAAACAGGAAAGTCTTGCAGCAACAGTACAGAGCAATGGTGAGATCACACCTAGAGGACTGTGTATAGTTTTGGTCTCCTTTCTTAAGGAGGGGCATTCTCACATTAGGAGCAGTTCAGGCTGATTCCTGGGGTGATGGAGTCGTCTCTTGAGGAAAGATTGAGCAGGTTAGGCCTGTACTCATCACTGAATGAGAAGTAATCTTCTTGAAGCAAGGAGGATTCTGAGAAGCTTGACAGGTTGCATGTGAAATCTTGAACCAGCAGACACAATTTAGAAGTAATGGATCTCCTGTGTAAGATGGATGTCAGAAGAAATTTTGTCACTCAGGGATTATCAGTGTTTTGAATTGTCTGCCACAGACTACAGTGGAGGCTGGGTCATTGAATATATTTAAGGCTAAGTTAGGTAGATTTTTGATTGGCAAGGGTCCAGAGGGATAGGCAGGTAAGTGAAGTTAAAGCCGTAATTACATCATATCTTATTGAATGGCAATGCAGGCTCGATGGGGCAAATGGCCTGCTTCAGTGTATTTGCTTACGCTCTTGAGAAATCTGTGACACTTAGATGAATAAGCCTCAAAATACCAGACTTCTAAACAGCAAAGTCAAAGTAAGGGGTCAGAGTTAGTGGCAGAGATGTGACCTGCAAAGATGCCAGCCAATGTAATATAATTTATAAATTTTAGAAGCAGATTGCAGTTTCTACTCTTCCCTAGTCACATTTCAACAGCACTTTGGGAGCAGTTCAGTTCAGGCCTGACATTCCTGGAAATTTTAAGATGGATTGATTACTTCCAAAGTTCCCAGGGGGAGAGAAGTTGATAGTGGTGTAAAGCTCCTGCTCTCAAAGTGGTCAGGTTCTGTTTGGGACAGAAGGTTTGCAAGGTCAAAATATTGGCTGGAATAAAACCCGGTTGTTATCAAAATTTCATTGAAAGAAAACTGAGGTAACTTTAAAGTAAAAGCAAAAACTTATTCATTTAAACAATAGTGTCAAGAATGTAGCAGCCACATATTTATGGATTTACAGAAAATACTAATTGAGCACACAATTACTGAATGGTACAAAACACACAGCTGGATAAATAATTTACAACAGGCTCTTAGTTACCCTTCTTTATTCTGCCATCATTCCCCAAGCAGCCATCAGGATGTACATTTGTAACATAGATCGGGAGGTTCCAGCCTTTGCTCAACAGACCTCCTGATACTGTCATCCCCAAGGTCTCATGAGCTCCTTTGCTAACACTGATGATCTTTTCATGGCACGTGAAGACATGACCAAAATTCTAAAAGAAAATCACAGACAAAATGCTGTTATATATCATAATAAAATGTCTAGGTTGCTTCCAGTAGTAGCAGTTTTATGTCCTTATTCTTTTTTAAGAGATAGTATTTCAGGAATAATTATTTAACACTTACTTTGTTCTTTTTTGCGTATTAAAAATGTGAATATATTACTTTTCTCGGTACTTATTCAGTGTAACAATACTGGGCAGTGTCTTGTAGGAGCCTGAACGATGCCGGCTATGGTGAAGCTTGTGGTAGAATTGCATGCGATGTCTCAGGAAGCCTGTGTTGATGTCGGGAGTAACTCGCTGCATCTTTTATGCCTGTGCGAAGCAGGCAGACGGTTTGTCACTGGACAGCAGTGAGTTGCCAATTAAGGGCTCATTAGACACTTTATTAATATTCAGCTTCCTAGCTTACCAAGTGTGTTCAACACACAAGATGTCGAGAAGTCAGAGCAGGAGCCTGGTGACTTCAGCTCTCTACTGCCTGTGAGCAGCCTCCATGCTCTCAGCATCAAACAGTACTTTAGGGCACAATCCATAGGCACATGCATCCCTTATCCATGGATACTGGCATCTGATATTTGCTACCCTTCCTCTGCACTTCACAATCCTCCTGGCACCTCTCCAGTCTATTTGTAGGCCACTCAGGAAGCACTGCAGGGCAATTAGCGTTGAAAGGCTGCTGCAAGGACACATTATGCGCAGTGACAAGCTCCCAGCTCAAGGACTGGACCAGGTTACATCTCAGAGCTACTCACATGCTCTCTTCATGCTTCCTCCCTCACTCGCTGCCTACCTAGTTACTCACTGCACCTCGCCTTGTCGTACCGATTCATACAGCTGCCAGGCCCCAGCCAGGGAGTGCCCATTTTTGAACGACACTATGTTGCATCAATCTCACACCCACACCATGTGCCAACAGTTAATGTGACAAACACACTCCACGCACAGGAAGGAAGTGGCCGTATCTCGAAGTCTCGAGGGAGCAGTCCTCACCGTGAGGCAGTCATCAGTCAGGCTTTCCCTGAACAGAAAGTCAAGGGCAGCCGCTGATACCAGGCCGGGGTGGGGTGTGGTGTTAATCACAGACAGGTATCCAGTCAGGGTGATCTCAGTGAGGGGGCAAGTGGCTGGGGCTCTTTACCCATGCAGGTGGGCAGTGGGTCACAGGCCGTGCTGTGGCACCATAGCAGAGAGCCAGGGGAGGCCTAAACTGTCTGGGAAATGGACAGGGCTCAGGCCACTTCTTGTCCAGGGCTGCCTGCTTACTTCACTCAAGGAAGTGGGGGCCATGGTTAGTGAGTCCCATCCATCTCAAAGCAGGAAGGGGAAAGGGGATAAGGACAAGGAGGGAGTAGGGCCACCACTGTGGGAAGGAAACTTGGGAAAATCTATTCCTCAGGATTAGTGGCTGCAGGATAAGGGCAAGGGACAGGTGCCTAATATGAAAGAAAGAGAGGGCATGGAAAAGGGAAGTGAGAGTAAAGCATGGATGGGGACAGAATAAAGCATGGATGGGGACGAAGCAAAGCACGGATGGGGACAGGGTAAAGCGGGAGGGGTGGCCTCGAGCAGCAAACAGTGTATGCACACACTGGGCACGGTCACCACACGTTCCAGGGGCTGGATAGGAGATTGGAGGCTTGGTTGGTGAAGGCTTATGTAGTTGACTTGCGTGGGCACCCAGAGAGGTGCAAGATCTATGGGGTTCATGGGACAGGCTACCAGGAAGGGGATCAGGGTGCTCAGGGCCTTACCAATACACAGGGGTGGGGGTTAACAGCACTCACTGTCACCGTCCATTGTGCTGGGACTCAGAAGTATGCAATGGGAAGGAAAATAGCTGTGACCTACCCAGAGCAGGCAACTGTTGCGAGATGCCGAGGGAGGGAACTGCAGGGCGTCAGCACTGTATTGGTGTGTATCAGTGTGTGTGTGCATGTCGGTGTGTGTGTGTGTATACATGTGTGTGTCAGTGTGTGTGTGTGTGAATCGGTGTGGGTGTGTGTGTGTGTATGTGTGTATCGGTGTGTGTGTGTATGTCGGGGTGTGTGTGTGTATGTCGGGGTGTGTGTGTGTGCGCTCGTGTGTGCGTGGCGCGTGCGTCTGTGTGTGTGTGTGTGTGTGTGTGTGTGTGTATCTGTCTGTGTGTCTGTCTGTCTGTGTGTGTCTGTCTACTGGTGTGTTGGTGTGTGTGTGTGTATGTGTGTATCAGTGTGTGTATCGGTGTGGGTGTATATCAGTGTGTGTCGGGGTGTGTGTGTGTATGTGTATCGGTGTGTGCGCATGTGTGTCTGTCTGTCTGTGTGTGTGTGTCGGTGTGTGCTCATTGTGTCTGTCTGTCTGTGTGTGTGTGTTGGTATGTGTGTGTATTGGGGTGTGTGTGTGTGTGCGCGCGCGTCGGGGTGTGTGTGTGCGTGTGTGTGTCAGGGTGTGTGTGTGTCGGGGTGTGTGTATCTGTGTCTGTGTGTGTTGGTGTGTGTGTGTGTGTCTGTGTGTGTCGGTGTGTGTATCGGTGTGGGTGTATGTCTGTGTGTATTGGTGTGTGTTGGGGTGTGTGTGTGTCTGTGTGCGTGTGCGTGTGTGTTGGTGTGCGTGTATCGATGTGTGTGTCGGTGTGTGTGTGTGTGTGTGTGTGTGTGTGCGTGTGCGTATCTGTGTGTGTGTTAGGATGGCCCTGACATGCCGAGGGTCTTCTCACCAGATACATGACTAGAGTGTCCTGAGAGGAGACCTCAGTGGAACCTGTGTGTCCCTTTAGCCGTGTGCCAAGCTTCTCCATCCAGCTCTGCCTTTAGTCCTGAGGACCAATGGCTAGGGCAATGGTGTGAAGGTCTGTGCTCTCCTCCAGCAGACCCCAAGGTGTAAAGCCTGGCCCTCACAGCAGCTGCTAACCTGTGTGCGGTGGGGTGGGGGGGGGTGTGGTAAACAATCATCACCTGCTTGAGGCAGGTGTGACCCCCCCAAAAAAGTAGCTGTACCACCACAACCTCTGGGGAATGGAGGCCAGTGCATCTCCCAGACCTTTGTGCTGAGGGTGTCCTCCTGCCGGGAGCTGTGCAGGAGCCAGGTCTCAGTGTGCCTCCAGCCACTGGCCGTCTGGGCTGTGCAGCTGTCACACACACAGCTAGGTGCTCACCAGATTGTGGGCCCACATTTAGTAAATGGGACATTCCCACTGAGGTGTCAGGATCTCAGCGGGCGGAGCTACAGCAGGCTGACTCGGCTGATGCTTCTTCGGAGGCCCCTGAACTCCTTCACCAGCTTCCTCTGAGGCCTCCTCAGAGTTGGAGGAGGAGAAGCTAAACTAACACTGGGGTGACTGCAGGAGCTGCCGTGTAATGCAGTTGGTGGGACATTCATCTACACAGGAATGGTCCCAGTCTCCTCCTGCCATGGCCAGGGGTCTCTCCTCATAGGGGGCGGTGAAAAGTCTGATGTTGGGCATCCTGCCACCCACCCGGGTTCTTTCTCCTCCACTGTGGGAAGTCTTTTCCTGGACTGGGAGAAAGCGAGGCACGGAGTGATTTGAAAGTGGGTAGCACAGATGGGAGTGCTGACGCAGGTGGTCAAAAGTGGTGAGCTGTACGAGATGGTGGGTAGACAGCACAGAGGACATGAAGGATCAGTTGCCAGGAGGTTGGGGTCAAATGAGAATAAGTGAGAAAAGACATTGCAGGCAACTATGAGAGTGGTGCAGCACGAGCCCTGGCAGGGGGAGGTGTAGTAACAGAGGTAGAGTCAGTGTGACGTAGCAGAGAGAAGACTGGGGCAGAGTGGAGGAGGTCATGGGCAGTTTTGGGGCACTCAAGGCCATCCCTCCACACCATGGAGACTGTACTGACATGAATGGTGACTGTAGACCAAGCTGCCACAGCCTGAGTGGTGTGGCCCCCTCTGCCAGTCCTGTGGGAACAGGGTGTGCCACCTTAGCACCAGCCCCTCCCTCAGGAACTCCAGCTCCTTGTGGGAGAATCACAGCACCATTTTCCCCTTTCTCCGACATCTACGCACTGTGTGTATCACCAACCAGCACAGATAAGGAATGCCAATACTCATTCAGGGCACATCTGCCTTTTAAAGATGTGACAGGCACTGGTCCTTCAGTGGATATCTGTGAGGTGTTCCAGGAACAACGCCTGGTAAAATGGAACTGGAATCGAATGACAGGGATACCATTGCAGCAGGGTAATTAATTTACGAGGAGAGTTTGGTGAGTTACAACTTGCTAGACCTTGAAGCTAAAATCCCTCCAAAAAACTTGACATTGCTCAAAAAAATGCCTAAGATTCAGCCCTGAGTCTCTTTCTCGTCTGCATGCAAAGTTTGTGTCATCCATTTGTCTTTCTTTGAATGTTCCTGGAGAGCTTCAGAGCAGATTAAGCCAAAACTGCTGATGTGACAAGTGTAGAACATAGGGGAAAATGGTTCATAATTAATCCTGATTTTGACTGCTCAGCTAGTCACATCACAAAGACTAATAGATTTTAGAACGTTAAATTACTGCAACAGCTTCCTATAAGCTAGTAAACAGATGCACCATTTGGTACAGACCAATGTCACAGAGATCATGAGGCCGCGTACTTGAGCCAAGATTTTCAAAGGTCAATGAGGAAAGGACTGAGGAGGAGAAGGTTTTGGAATTCTACATCACCAGCCAGCCTGCTGGTTACCAGCACCATATCAACCCCTCCAAACCATTTCCGAGAGGGTTGTGTGAGAAAGCTGCCTGCCTGTAAGCAGTCTAAAGTCAATTGAAACAATTACCAGGTCTATTTGGGCCTTCTTCCATGTTGGCTGGAGTTTCCCAATCAGAGGGGAAGCTCCAAACTGGCAGCTGAAACTAATCCAGGGAGAGGAGGTAGACTCTAATGGGGAAACATCCATTGTGAGGTGCCCTTTCTCTCTGCTGGTTTCAGTAGCTCCACCTTGGGATGCCAATGTGCTATCACTGGCAGCTCTCCTGTCTTGGGAGCTTGTCATCCTTAATTGTA